CTGTTTACCTGCTGTCCAAGGAACTCACAGGACTCCTTGGTCCTACTGCTCCCATCATCACGGTTCAAGAAGGCTTAGTGGATGAGAGGATTGTAAGAGTAGAAGAAAGGACCCAAAGCCCTGGTGAGTAAAGACAGCATAGAGGGCCCCCACGTGCTCCAGATGTGAGTAAGACTCTGGAACTCAGATGCTGTGGCAGCCAACAGGGAGAATGAGAGAGGTCAGTGAGGCCAGAGCAGGCAGATAACAGGTTGGTCTCAGAAAAGGGCATGACAAATGAGGACACTACTGCCATTGAGAGAGGCACGGCCTGCGCCAGGCATGCAGTTTCTTACAGATAAATGACAGCATTAGGGGGCCTTGGGATTGTCCTAGGTTGCACAGTGGTTATCCACATTAGATTTTCACCTAGATCTTTGCTCTTGATTCACCCTTCTATAATCAGCAGACACTTGCTCTGCTGTCACTTTGCTGCCTGTGACTTGGGCAATCCCCCAGGGCCTCTCTCTAATAGCACACTATGATTGCCTTTGGATGCTGGACCACCATGGCTCAGCAGTATCCAGCTGGACCAGGACACTGTCTCCATAAGTGCTTGAATTCATTCATTCTGGAGGTTGGTCTTTCACTACTCACCAGCACAGTGTGCTTGTAAGCCCGGTGAATCACAATGCTGTAGCCAAACACGGTCACATCCACCTGCTTCACCCACAAGGCCAGTGACGGGTCCCGATCCTCATTCTTGGCTGTTACAACGAACTTGGGGAAAGAGTCTGAGATTGATCTGCTTCCTGTGGTGCAGAGGATGAGAGGGCAGCTGGTCTGAAAGTCAAAGGGATAGCCATCAAAGGTGAGGTAGTGGCCATAACCGGAGACAATACACGACGCATCGGTGCGGGGCTGGCAGTAGTATAAGCCACTCTCTTCCATGCAGTATTCATCGTCTCTGCAGGGAATGGTCTCACAGTGGACACTGTTGTCTGTGCCATTGCAGTAGCAGAAGATCTGGCAGTCCTGGTCCACCCAGAAGGTTTCATTGGTGGCAAGTTGATGCCCTTCAAAGTTGCAGCCGCACTCACTCCGGGTCACACACTGGCTGCCCTGCAGGGCATAGCCTTCGTCACATTGGCATCCCTCGGAGCAGCTATCCACACAGATGGGTCCCAGGGCCAGGGTCTCACAGGTCTCTGTACATGTCATACACTCCTCAAAATGACTGTTCTCTGGGCAATCTAGAGCTGAGAGTGGTCAAAGAGAAGACAAGTTTGAGAATTGAACAGAGGGTAGAGACAAAAGTATTCTGTTATGTGCACTTTTGCAAAACTACATGTGTGCAATCACATGTGGACTCATATTTGTGTAGGACAATGAGCTCGATGAAGTTGTATGATTAAATGCTGTCATCCTCCCTTGAGGATGACAAGGGCCGAAGGACTCTCACAGGCTTCAACTGTGTATTTGATCTTCTATGTAAAAGATTCTTTGTCTATGAACACCTGCCACATGTGGCCCTTTTGTGGGCCTCGTCTCAATCATTTGGATTAGGAAAAGCCTTTTTTATCACTATTCTATAGGTGAGGATAGGGGATGCCAATGATGTAGCTTATCTACCCGATAAGAACCAGGCAGGGGTTCAAACAGTTGCCTTGACTTAGATTCTGAAGACGGTGTGCGATGTGCTACATAGCCTCTTGCTCTGTAGCCATGGAGACCTCTCTCAGCCCTGACTTGTGAATATCTCTGAGCTCCAGTTTCGCTTTTCTTGTTGGTATTGTTCAACAATAGCCATATTTACCTGGTAGGATTGTTCTGAGGATTAATAATTTAATATGCTGAGTACAGCATGACCCCCCCTCCCAAACCCCAGACCTTCTTTCTCTTAAACATTTTTGCCTTGGTTTGATTTCTTTCTTTGTCTTTTATTTCCCTGGTTCTGACACCCTGTGGTCTTCTTCACTTCCTCTCCATGCTCTGTAGGCAGTTCTCCGTCTGCCTCTTCTCACACCGTCCTCTGCCAGGATTAACCCCCTACAAAGCTGTGTCTCGTGACTCTTTTACACATCTTTTCAAATCACACTTTCTCCCAGCAGCCTTCCTTGTTAGATCAAGGCTCTGTCATAGAGGAGCACGTGTGACTCTCTGTGAGGTTCTGGGTTAGCACCCCACTTCTCTCCATGCTTTGACTGGTGACAAATTGACAGGAGCAGGGACAGACTCCAACAGCACAGGAGAAATCTGCCTACAAGTCTGTGTGATCTAAAGAGCTACAAAGGTCCCCACCCCTCCAGGAAAACAAGATCTTGTTCACAGAACTTTCTTTGGCTCTTAGACCTACAATCCGTCCTTGCCAATGTCTTACGATCCAAGGACATGGAGGACACCACAGAGAAATAAATTGCATAGACATAATAGTTCTGCCCATGAGGACCAACTCAATCGTTCTGCACTGTGGACTGAAAGCCAATCTTTTTTGTTTTTTTTTTTTCCTCTAGGCTAAAGGACTCTCTCCATTTCCGTTGACTACAAAACCATGCGGCTTCGGAGTTGAAGGCTAGTTCAACACTGATTATATATGTCTGGATAGAGGGATTTTCACACTTGTCTCTAAATTATGAATGCTATAGCACTGACTGCAGGTTTATGGGGAAAGCAAATAACATGACTTATTCAAATGGCTGTTGCTTATGACTTAGTGTGTTGTCTGGATTTGTCTGAAAGTCTGGAACATAGAGATGCGGAGTAATAAAACTTTCCCCTGCCCCTGAAATCACTCTGGGAAATGACTAATTTGGGAATCTGGCGCTGCCAACAAAGGGCTGGTTAAAAAATGGCCAAACATGGATAGCATGGTAGTCTCTTTACAAGTTCAAAGAAGATGCTATTCCTTGTCCGTAGCTGTCATTCAATCCATTTTTGTTTTCAGGACCCAGTCATAACAAGCCCTCACTGCTCAGACAGCTGGCTGATCAAGTGTGCACACTTTGGTCATTATCAACAGATTCAAATGAGCCAACCTAGTGGATGGACCAGGTGTAAGCCTGGCTCTTTTCCCAATGAAACTATTCTCCATGTGGCCTCTGCCCAAATCCCCCTTTAACAAGTGCTAACAAAAACTGCCTCCACTCCATTGGCCTGGATGAGGCTTGGTTACATGCCTTTCTCAGGAGTCCTCACAGCCAGGCCAGGCTAAACTGAGTGCCACAAAAATGTGCTCCGTACAGTACAAACCAACCCATAAGCACTCCCTGCCAGGCAGGAGCTAGTTATTGAAAAGGATGATCTGGCAGCAGCATAGATCTGGGATGGGGGATCTTGGCAAACCCACACCATGTGTGAAATCCAGCTAGAAAGCTGGGTGTGAGAACAGGGGCTGGAGAAAGGAGGTGTGTGGGAGAGCAGATCAGAGGGGCTTTGGGGAAGCATTTCAAGATCCCACCAGGTAGAGCAGTCAGCAGGAATATAGGTGGCTTTCCTGCTGAAGGAGACTTTGCAAGAAGAGTTTGGCTTCAAGACTCATGTCATCTGCTGCTGGTCCCTTCTGAACAAAGCCAGGGTTCATCAGGAGTGTACTCGCCCAAGTTGAAAGTAACCAGGTCTGCCACATACTTACTAGATTTCTGAAGTTCATAAATTAGAGACTTAAAACATATGTGCATGCAGGCATGTGTGTGTGTGTGTGTGTGTGTGTGTGTGTGTGTGTGTGTGTGTGTGTGTTTAACTCTGCTGAAAGAACCTATAGCAAAGCAAAGATACCCCCAAGAGCACTGGGTAACTGATACCCAGGTGTCTGTCTCATCACACCCCTCACTGAAATGAAGTAGAGCCCCTTGATATAAGGGCTGAATGTGGCCCAGGGAGGAGAGAATTGAGAGACAAATGTGAGTCTTTCGTTTGAGCAGAAAATAAGACAGAGCTAAAAAGCACAACAGAGGCATGACAAAGAACAGGAGTCAGTTTGAAGGTTCCCACAGGCCAAACATGAAACAACTTTAACATCAAAATACTTTCTAAATGTAATATGATATATAAGACCTTAAAAGAACCACCCCAGAATCCATGTCTATATTGTTGAGACAAGGTGACATAGACTAGAGGTTTGAGTAGGTGGGTAGATCAACTGAGGGAGAGTTGGGAGAGATGGGAAGGCTCTTGCCTGCACTGGGATGGCAATTTCTGATGGGTAAAGTAGGGAAGGTGATGTTCAACCTGGAATTGTACAGTTGGTAATCACAGTGCAAAAGTATAACACAGCAAGCCAGCATCGACCGTAGGTACGGAACCAGGGCAGAGATTTTGACGGACAGCAACAATGGACAATGTCAAAAACTCTCCCCACACTTTGCTTTTTGGTTGTAAGAGAAAACTCATGGGAATCTACAGAGGAGCCATTCTACCATAGCTTGACCTGGACATAAGCAGGCACCTCACTCACAAGGGGGCAGGCTGGATGTAGCCTGGGTCTGCTTGTCGAGCCTGTGAGGAGGCTGAGTGGTGCACAGTTGGGGTTCACATGAGTGACGTCAAAGTCTAAATGAGAAGCAGTTCTATTTTAAAGGACACAGAAAGCCAAGGGATTGTTCAAATCATATTAAAGGACACATTATAGGACAAAGAAACAGGTTTAAGATGCGAACCTAGACAAGATCTGTGCAGAGGGGAAAAGCATAAAAGGTGTTACTGAGTCAGGTGACAAGGCTGAAATGCGGATGTTAAGTTGTTCTACCTACGTTAGATATCCTCAAGTAGATAACTGCACTGCAGTTACATAAGCTTACGTCCTAAGTCTCAGGAAATAACTATGGAAGAACTAGTGGGGATGGGTGATTGGGTGGGATCTCTGGTGTGGAGAATTGTCTGTATTCTGTCAATCATATTTTAATAAAACACTGATTGGCCAGGCAGGCAGTATAGGCGGGAAAGCCAGACAGGAAGTAGGGGTGGAGCAAAGAGACTGGGAGTATTCTGGGACACAGGAAGCTCCCTCCGTCACTCCTGCGCAGACCACCAAGAGGCAGCATGTAACTTGCCCAGCTGAGAAAGGTACGGAGCCATGTGGCTAATGTAGATAAGGATAATGGGGTAACATAAGTTATAAGAGTTAACAAGAAGCCTGACCTAAAGGGCCAATCAGTTTATAATCTTATGGAGTCTTGTGTGTGATTTCTCTTTGGGATTTGCCGGTTGTGGGGTACCAGCGGGAACAGATACCCCAACAAGCCGGCCCTCATGTTACAGATCTCAAAGCCCCCCCGCCCCAAGTTAAAGGTTGGTCTCCAGCACAGGTCTTTGGAACATTAGGGATGTGCCTTGAAATGGAGAGTAGAAATCCAGTGCTTCCTCTCCTTCCCCTTCCTACAATGAACATGTTTTCTTCCCCAGATTCACCCCACCGTGCTGCACCCTCACTGCAGGCCCAAAAGCAATAGGGACAATAGGGCCCATCAGCCCTTGAGCTGAACTATGAGCCAAAAATAATGTTCTCTCTTTGTAGGCTGATTACCCTTGGGCATTTTGTTATAGTTCCAGAGGCTGAGAAAAGGACCATGATGTGTGCAAATTACTCTCTGGTCGGGGGGAGGGGATGGTGGGAGAGAAAATGGGGGAAGGAAACAAAAGGGATAGACTGTATACAACAGGCTTAGTCTGGGTAATAAGTACATAGGAATACTCACAACGTTTGTGTAACTTTGAAACGATTTTAATTTTTTTTAAAATGATCACACTTAGAGTGGGTCATGCCAGAAAGATACACAGACCTAGAAGTTGGCATCTTCACAGTTTAGGTTTTGGTTTAGGGCCAAAGTTTTTAGTGGGAGAGAGCAATGTGTAGAAGCCCTGGCCATGCCATTCTTACTGTCCCGCTTGGGTTCCACCCTCTCAGCCCCTCCCCTTCTGCTTCTTCTGATAAGCCGGGTGTTGGGTATCTTGTCTGCTCAGGAGTGATTCTAATGACTACCAGTATCACCACTGCCCGACTGAGAGGGATCACATACTCTGGGGACAAAACGAAGAGCCAGGTACATGGGACTGTCTTAATAGCCATTGTCAGGTTTGCCCCAGGGGGAAACACTGATCTCCGACACCCTGAAAAGCTTCCCAGCTGATTGTGCCCTACCAAAATGAATGGGGCTCTTTGCTCAAGGTGAAGGCACCCACGGAGCCATCACCAAGATGTCTGATCTTTTAACCCAGTGTCTGTGCTCTCTGTGCATAAAACCACCAGACAATGGGATGGCTAACTGCTCTGCAATGAAAAGATGCTGTGTGTTGAGAAAGGAAAAGAGGGACTTAGGAGGGACCTAGGTTGATGAAGTACCCACTGCACACACATGAAGATCCCCAGCATCTATAGAAAACCTCAGCACTGAGAAGTGGAACCCTGAAGCTCTCTAGCCAGTGAGTCTAGCCAGTCAGTGAGCTTTAGATTCAGTAAGAGACACTGTCTCAAAAGATAAGGCTGGAGCGGCTGAAGAGGTGGGTCAACAATTAAGAGCAGGCAGAGGACCTGAGTTTGGGAACCAGTACCCATACTGGGATGCTCCCAATGGTCTATTACTCTAGCCCCAAAGGCATTGGATGTTCTCTGGCCTCCAATACGCGCATGTGTGCACGTGCACACACACACACACACACACACACACACACACTTTAAAAATCTAACTCTTCAACCAAAAATGTAAGGTGGAAAGGAATAGTGGAAGATATCAATGTCAATGTCTAGTCTCTACACACATACATGTACATGTGTACATGCACACATATAAACTATACACACAGACACACACGCGAAAATAAAGGTGAGAAACAGTCTAGTTTGGGGTAATGGGATCAAAGACAGGCCATCGGACTCCCCTTGAGCTCGGTCCCACTAAGAAGTCCTGACTAGCAAACCATGGTAGAGGATGCATCCCCAGCCTTAGCCTCCCCATGGTGCAGCCCTAACTTACGGCAGAAGTCATAGGTCCTCCAGGGGCCCACCTCCACATCTGCATTCTTGCAAGCACTGGCGTAGCGGGCCACAGAATCACACAGCTCCGACTCATTGCCTCCGCTCTGGCACAGGCGGAAGAGGCAGGTGCGGTAGTAGGCAGTGACGTTGACCACCCCGTGACACTCTAGGAAGGAGCTGTTGGAGGGGTCGTTGATGATACCGCACCGGGAGCGGCCCCGGTAGAACTTGAGAAGCTCTGAGTCATTGTTGCAGGCCTTCAGCAGATCCCCACACTCGCCATTACAAATTTCCTCAAAGGTCGTCCAGCTCTCCAAGAACACTGCCAGGTTGTCTGTACACTTGCCATTAGGAAGGCAGAACTCGTCGCTAGCATTGGCGTTGAAGAAGCCACACAGGCCCCCAGTACAGTTGAAGTACACGGTGGACAGCCGGATGTACAACAGGCCCACATCGGAGTACTGGACTGACACCACGCCTTTGGACTCCACGGTTGTGCTGTTTTTGTTTCGGTGAATCTCCAGCCTCCCCGAAGGATGGAAAAAGGGTAATTCCACATCGTGACCATTGAGCTGAAAAACCAAAAGCGCTGCTCTCAGTGACAGGGACCCACGAAGGACTCACTGCCTCTGAGGCTGGGAAAGAGCCGGCTCTGCGCCAGGACAAGCTCTGTGGAAACATCACAGAGCTGATGCTGTGTAAACTGCACACAGACACCAACTGTCTGTTCATAGGCTTGTTTCTTTCTTCTGAGACCCCATTCTCCCATTACCTTAGTGTGCCCCAGACCTTGAGCTGGTCCCACACAAACACCGTCTTGAGAAACTGTATTCCTCCTGCAGCAATTCCCCTTCTGGCACTGTTTCCCAGACAGCCCCCTTCCTCCACACGTTTCTGCTTCTTCTTTTGCCATCGGATTTTAATTTTTCCTGTGCACCAGACCACTGGAGCACATCGAGGAGAGCTAATGTCGAGATGTCCATTCACCTGTGCCTGCTATTCCTTTACTAGCTTAATCTCTGTCAATTCACTAATGGGGCTGAGAACACAGCCTTTTCTCTCTGTGGACAATGGGTCTTGTCATCCCCCTAGGCTGTATGATGGCGATGTCTGTTTTCAGAATGTCACTCAGATCATCTTAGACCAAAAGGTGTGAGAATCCTTTCCTGGCACCACCTCATCTCAGCCAAGTCATCTGTGGGACCCTCACTTAGACTCTTGGCACCTTCTATGGAATCAAGTGTTGCCCAAGATTCCTTCCAGAACCAATGAGCCTGGACACCTGGTCATGGCTACATCAGCCCATGTCAGAGGATAGGCACCCCAAGGACTCTTTCCTTGCCTTCTATATTGAGAACTCCCTTCTACATGCAGAAGGGATATTACAGCATGCAGAACACAGATAACACCTGTCCTACCTGCACTCACATCCCATTTGAAGCTGTGTGTCCCTAAAGGAAGTGTCTTAACCTTTCTGTGCCTTAGCTTTGACAGCTATATGATAAAGGTAATACTATAAACTACTTCATGAAAAAGGCTTAGAAAAGTGCTTGGCACACAGCCTTGGTGGAGATTTGTGCTTATAGAGAGGAAGCTTTACCCTCTAATTCAGGAAAGTCCAACCTGGCTCCATTTCTCTACCTGCTAGAATCTCATTTGGGGTCAATCATTTTAAAAGTGCCACCATATGGGAGCCATGTTCTTTTTAAAATCCACTCACAGCCAGAGGAAGAGGGCCAAACCGGATGAAAAGGGCAAGTTCCATCACTCCATCCAAAGACCCTCGAAGGAAGCAAGGAATCTTACCTTGACTTCCAAAGCCCCGACTCCTCCTATCTTGACCTCTTGGTCAGCCACGAGGATCCGAAGACCCCGGAGCCAAGCAGGCCCGGCGTCAGGCTTCTTCTTGTTGATGTCAATTTCCAAGTACTCAGGACGCTCGGGGCAGGTCTTGAGGAGTGTGTAAGAGAACTCCGACGGGAACGCGTAGGCGGCACCATCAAATGTATGCAGCACCTGGTTCTGGCTGAGCAGGCACACGGTCTCCCGCTTGGGGAAGCAGCCCTGGTAGCCATCCTCCACAGCACACACCTCCCCACTCCGGCAGGTCTTGTTGAAGCAATAGACCTCCCCTCCCTCCTCGCATAAGCACTGCACCGTGCAATTGGCGGTGGCCCAGAAGAACTCCCCCATGGTATAGTAGTGGCCGTCGAAGTCACAGCCACACTTGTGCAAGGGAACACACTGACTGGTGCTGAGAACAAAGCCCTCGTTGCACTCGCAACCTTCCGTGCACGGGGTGGCACAGTTCTGAGAGGCCGTCAGGTCCGAGCAGGTGTCAGGGCAGCTACTGGTGCACACAGAATAATGGCTGAAACTTGGGCATCGCACGGTGGACACTGGTGCGGAGAAAGGAAGACAGTTCAGTCATAGGTGAGTAGACCCAAAGCCAACCAGTACAGGGGCTGGGAGAAAACACAAATGCTCCTCCCAGATCATCCAGGTCCCAGAGTAAGGGCCGGGTAGCCACTTACAGAGAAAGAGACTGAATGGAGACACGTTGTAAGTATTGACACAATTGCTTTCTCTATATGCTGGGGCTGTGAGGTTTTACCTGAACTCAAACCCACTGAATTTCACCTCGAAGTTGTCTATCCCTACTAACTTAGCCCTATTCCTCAATCAAGGGTTATTACTCAGTGATCTACAGTCATGAAGATGTTTTCCAATCCTCCACCAAGGACATAGGAGATGCCTTGATTTTAAAGAGCATGGCCCACTCTTAGGGGGAAATAAAACTTGCAGGAGAAATGAAAATTGTGCCCGTTAGAGCAGCAATTTGAGGACATGAAATTTCAAACAAGAAGGCACTTAAAATATCGGAGTGTGACCGAGGCAGACTGTGGAAATGAATTCCTGGGACATTAAAAATGAGAAAGGAGCTGAGCAGTCTGCAGAGATCGTGTGCCTGTTCCTCTGGGAGGCTTGCTGGGAGCTAGCTGCTGCCTTCCGAGGCCCGTCCGTGCCTTAGAAGCTTGTGTCTCTTATTTAAAAACGTTCAAGTCTACATAAATGTTTGAATCTAGTTGAATCCAGCAGGCATAAGTCTAGCAAACCAGCTCTGAATTAAATATAATTCATACAAGTAAGGGGGAGTGAATATAAGACAAGCACCGAACCACTAGGAAAAATATACAACTGTTATTTATAAAAATTTACTTGGGCAATTTGGATGCTCTTGGATTATATAAGGCTCAAAGAGAAGCCATATTCAGCTTGAATGTGAATTATGAGATGGCTCCTCTGAGTATAATGGAGGCTGGTCAGTCATTCACACAGCAAGAAAGATACACTGTCTCTTGGTAGTGTGACCAATATACTGAGATTTGAATTTGACAGACAATGATTTATGTGGCTCCAACTCATGCTTGTGGAGGGAAGCTCCATTTAGCCTTGGAATTCAGAGAAACTTAACTCTCACCTCCACACACAGCCTCTCAAAGGCATGGACAGCAACTGCTCATTTATGTTTACTCATGTGAAGGGAGCCAGGGCCCAGGAAGGAGACAAGTTATTATTGTGTTTTTATACTTTTATATAAGTAGGAAAGGGGAGATTTAACGGGGATGGGGAAGTGGAGAGAAACAGCTGACAGCTAAGCAGTATGGGAAAACGTCATCCAAAAGCCTGTTGTAAAATGACCTGGATATGCCAGGTGGTGATGGCGCATGCTTTTAATCCCAGCACTTGAGAGGCAGAGGCTGGCGGATCTCTGTGAGTTTGAGGCCAACCTGGTTTACAGAGCAAGTTCCAGGATAGCCATGGCTGCAGGAAGAAACCCTGTCTTGGAAAAACAAAACAAAATAAAACAAAAAGACAACAAACAAACAAACAAAAAACTCTGGATATCCCCAGCAGTCCGGGTGCCTTCTAGCTCCTGGCAAGAAAGGGGCTTCCATATTGATGCTAGGCTGTATATTCTCTGTCTATGGTCCTTTCTCTGACCAGGTCAGATGGGATGTTGCAGAACCAACGACACAAACTCTGAAGGCCCTGGAGGTGGGGACCTAAACTAAGGAATTAAAGAGCCAGGGCAGAAGCCTCCACCTGGGAGGGAAGCCACACCCCCACGAGGGCTCTATCCCCTAAGCTACCTTCTGCCCTTCCTCAACAGCCAACTGTGGAAGCTCCTCTCCCTGGCTCAGCTCTGGGTTGTCATCCCCACTATGGGGTTTCCTCCAGCCATGCATTTTCTGTCATTCATTTCCTGTTTCTAGATGCCTTAAGTTCATCGATGCTACCGTATTTCTTGGTTCTGGCAGTGGGAGCAAAGATCTCTTCATCCTTCATTCTGTATCATTTGTGATATTTCAATACCACCCTCCCTCTCAGCCCTCCAGACAAGGTGAGGCCTGAAATCCAATCCCTGTCCTTGGAATGGGGGGGGAGGCATCTTTCATAGGACAGCACGCCAGCTTACCACACCCAGTTTGGATTCTCCAGTCTCCGATTGGGATCCCCAGGGCTTGACACACCAAGGCGTAGGCCTGAATGGCTTGGCAGAGGAGCGTGCCGTTGTCCCTCACGCTGCACAAGTCATACACACAGCTGTGCACAAAAGCCGTGGCATCCACAACAGTGCCACACTCCCCCAGGGGACCGTCAGTCTTGTTGAGGAAGCCGCAGTAGTCCGAACCAAAGTAGAGAGCCTCAGTGGCCGCATCGCACTGGGTACAGTTGTCCACGCAGCCAGAACCACACTTCCAGTCGGCATGGTAGACACGCCAGCTCTCTCCCAGGTCCAGCACTGACATGGCGGGCCTACCATCGGGGCGGAGGAAGTCATCCAGTGGGTTTTTATTGTAGTTCCCGCAGAGCCCACAGGTGGAGTTTATGTAAGAGCCTGGGATGGAAATGGAGGCGTAGTGCTGGCCGTCAAACGTCACTAAGAGCCCAAAATCTGTTTCCACGGCAGTAGACATGCCACTCTGGTAGATTTTCACTGCCCCCAACTCTAAGGTGACGGGCAAAGAGGTCACCAGGTCATTAACCTGCCAACAGTAACAGTAGAAGGCAGGTGAGCAGGGGACCACGCGTGCGCTCCAGCACAGGTTGGCAAGGGATGGCAGGGCAACTGTTTAGGAGAGAATAGTCACTCCAAGTTTCCAGGCTTCTCTGGTCTTACCCCTTACTGTGGCTAATATCTGGGTGCAGAGGGGGAATTATTTAGTAAATGGTGAGCTCTGGGCCGGAAGGCACTGGCCATTCGAGTCCAATAACTCTGACAGTTCTAGTGCCATCGTGCATGCCACTGGGGACTGGCTGGCTGGCACCCTTCTTTTCTGGCTCTAGTCTGACTTCGAGCTTTTGCCCGAGAGGTACACCACTTTGATTTCCCTTTTCTATTTCTCTGAAGATCCATTAAGTCAGAAGTATCACATGAGCTTTCCATGACCTTTGTACCCTTTGTACCCACTGGCCCTCTTGCCAGATGTTATATGGTTGTACCAACTTGGAATGTTGTTGATCTTAGAAGTCATCCTAGGGCCTCACTCTAAGCATGATGCACTGTGGTTTCCTGATTTCTGAACTACACCACTCGATCACTCAACATCAACAGGTCTGAACAATTGCTAAGTACCATGCACTATGCCAGGATCCGAGAGGCACAGGGTTAAAGAAATAATATTCACCCTTGTCCCTCAAGGCGCTCTCTGCCTAGTGAGGAAGAGGAACACAAACAGATATTTATAGTAGTCAGTTTTAAATATGAATCAATGGGTGCGATGGGGGAACAGAGAGAACACTTAACCCAGCCTTGGGGACTCATCCAAGGTTTTTAGAGGCGGTTAAATCTGACTGGAGTTTTTAGAGATAAACTCAAGTTGCCAGATAAAAACCCTGGGGTGGGTGTTGAGCAGAGAATTTCAGGACAAAAGAATAAAGGCAGGGGATTAGAAGTAACTGTTTGGGGTGGGAAGAATCATGGGATGCTGAGGATGGCTGAGGAAATCAGTAGCCAGAGACAAAGCTGAAGACACAGCCCTGGGGCTGCTCTGATGTCAAGCAGTGTTCTAAGACTTTAGAGTTGCCAAGTGAATTGATCAAAATTCCCTTCCTTGTGTAACCTAGCATTTAACAAAGGAGACTAACCACTAGCAAAACAAAGGTGTACAGCATCTAATGATGTGTGAATGAGTATTACAGATCCCAATGTTCAGAAGGAAGTTTTATAGCTATAAGTGAATGGTCAGGGCGCAGGTCCATGGCAAAGTGACATCTGAGAGAGGAAGAAGCCTTGGAGTGAGCTGTCACAGGGAGAAACTAGCAGGCCCTCAGGTGGGGGTGCTCTGGGTGCTATAGCCATCAGGGTCTCCATGTGGTTGAGCTGAGCAAGCAGGGGTGAGCAGTGGTAGCTGATGTCAGGCAGGGTAGCAGCCAGAACAAGACAGGACTTTGGTTTTAGCTCTGAGCAAAATGTTGAGCCAAGTGGGTTTTTAAAGCAAAGGATCTACAGGATCTGACTTCCACTTTGAAAGAACCACTCTGGCTCCCATGTTGAGAACAGACCTTAACATCTGGCAAGAGGGCCAGTGGGTACAAAGGGTACAAAACCAAGACAACACAAATAGACCTGAATTTCTACTCAGTAGGAAGCAAGCCCCTGAAGGGTAGTGAACAAAGAAATAACACAGGAGGTTTGCGTTTCAGGAAGCTGGTCCTGGCTGGCAGGAAGTGCTTGATGAACTAAGCCAAGATGAGCAGCAAGGAGCCTAGACAGCTGCTGCCAGGGCCCAAGAGAAGACAGGAGTTAAAGCAAAAACCAGACACAAAGTGGGAGGCACAAGCTGCGCACCCCATTCGATTGTCCCTCACAGTCTCTCCTGTGGTTGATTCAGAACTGGGGGAAGAATCAAGAGTGAATCTTAATTATCTAGAAAACACGAACAGGTGGTTTGAAATGCTTCTAACAGAGCCAAGCATTACCGTCACACTTACTGTGCCTAGCTTCTGAAGTCGTTCCTGTTTAAGACTTGGGGTGAAATGATTAGTCAGGGTCCCTGGTGGGCTTGACTTTAAATGCACCTCAGCTTCTCAGGCTGACCTAGATTCACGCTGGTTTCTGGCATATAGAAACATATGGACAGGAGCCTGACATGGTCAGTACGTTTCCAGTTGGAAATGAACTAGTAAACTGCCTAGGTATTGCGCCCAAGGATTACTGGAATAAACACCTCAGGTATTCTCTGAGACTGGAAGCAGACCCTCAACAGAATTACCCTTAATGGTCTACTCACACTGATGTCGGCTCTGACCAGTCTGTACCTCAAAATTCTGATAACTTCTGCCCAGTTTAACCCAGTTTTAAAGCCACAAGTACATTTTTAGGTATTTGTCATAGCGGCACCCCACTCCTGGTACCAGTGTTCTGTCTTAACCTGCTTGAGTTGCAATGAAATATTAATAAACCACAGAATATTCAAGAAGCCTGGAAATTCAGGATGGGAATGACCACAGGTTAGTGCTGTAAGGTCCAGTTTTCTGGTTCGTAGATAAGTATTCAGGTGATAGAAAGGGCAAATTAGCTTTCTATGGCCTTCTATAGGGCACTAATCATTACCTAATTATTTTCCCCATCCCATTTTCTAATACTACCTTCATGACAATTTATTAATGGAACATCAATATATGAATGGGGAGAGCATAAACCTTCAGACTGTGACAATGGTAGAAGACTGAACAAGTCTTAGAAATAGCTTCTCAGTTAGAAATGGGAAACAGACAAATCTCTTTGCTTTTCCTTCTCCTTGGGCTCTACGCACCTTTCCTTGTCAATGGGTCTCTCCGAAGATGTGTGCAGGGACAGGGCAGGAGGGAGAAGAGGAATCACAAAGTATTCGGCTTGGAAACGGTAATATGGAGCCAGCATGTGCTAAGTGCCTACTGTGTGCCAACCTCTGTGCTGCGGGATGTACGTGTTTGTTCTAGTCAATGTGCGTGAAACCTAAAAGGTTCCTACATGTTCTCTTCACTGTAAATGAGGATAGAGCTTGTGAAAGAACCAGACAGCTACTGAGGTCCAAAGCCGTGCTTCGTCACTGCTTCCCCTGCCTGGATTAGCTCTGAGAGGAGGCAACAAGTCTAGGCTAGTGTGTAGGTGCCCGGTAGGTGACACAACTTCCCCACCATTACAGAAAAGGAAAATGAAGCAGTGGCTGCTGTGCTGGAAGAGACAGCACAGGTACTGGGCAGGTCCCACTCCATAGTCAGAGCTCTCCATACCTTGTGGGCTAGATGGCCTGTTGGGCCCCTGGAAGTACCCTAAACCATTCAGCTTCATGGCGGGGAGAAACCAGAAAACCTCTCACCACTAGGAGACATTTGCTAAGTATGGACGCTCAGTTGTGTTGACTTTCTTTGGACTTCATTAGCATATATAACCCAAATTGTTTATCATTTGAGAATGGGTTCAGCAGGGAAAACCCCACTGAAAGAACGCTGCTTCTAATCCAGCAAATGGAGGCAGGGTTGGAGAAAGGGGACATGTGGTTTTCAATGGCCCAGCTTGGGTCATTCCAGGCACAATATGGCTGGCTAGGAGGTCAGCTGCTTCCCAGTAGTCACCTGCTCCTTCCTGTTTCCCGGGCCTCTCCCTGGCTGTCCCCACATTACCCTGGGTCAGGGCCCTGCACCCGTCTAGCCACTCTGCCCAGGGTGGCAGGTGTATTCCAAGGCACTGGAAACCGTTTGGCAAAAGGAAAAGGACGCCGTTGTTAGCCTGCAGTTGGAGTCACATAACCTTTTCTTGCCGAAGCATTGGTATTCACATCCACAGCTCCCTGTCGCTACAGAAAATTGAGGAATCCGTGCCCTACGCCTGGACGGTGGAATAGAGCCATGCAAAATTAGCAGAGCTGCTGGGCCTGAAAGAGACGACAGTGTCCTTTCTTTCATTAAAAAAAGAAAAAGAAAAAAGAAGTAGAAAGTCTGAGCGTGAGCAAAAAAGGATTTTAATCAAAATGGAAAATAGGGACGAAGCAAGACCCCTCCTTTTCAACTATTGGTATCAAACACACCAGTTTACAACACAGGCAAGTTGGCAAAGCTGGTGAAAAAAAATTAGCTGGAAAGGTATCTATCCATGGGGATAAAAATGGCCCTCAATGGCACCGTACAAATTTACATTGGAAAGAATCCAAACTTCTGTACTAGACTCCTTCACTGATAGATGAACCTGTCCCTAGAGACACTGACCAAATAGCAAGCAAATCGGCATTTCAACCATGGTCATAGCTCACTTTCCCAATTATAGAGCTGATGGCCTGCACAGACTTGAGAATGGCAGCAGCAGAAAAAGGAGATTTGGTTCCCCGGTTTTGCCTTTTGTCAGATATGCGACCTCAATGAAAACTACCGCACGTTTTTTTATTAGTTCTGATTGGCCCTCTATTGAACAACCAAGCATGGGATTAAGGATTGCATGGGATACAGCAATCACCCCTTGTGGTCTCCAAGTTAAGACTGCTTGAATAAATACATGGTTACACCAAAGTCCTCATTAACATTATGAAAATTGTGGCCTCCATCAGTTGAGTAATTGCCAGTAGCTCCTAGCATTCCCTCTTTAGTCAATGCCCCTGTAGCAGGAGTCATTTACATATGCTAAACAGGCCAGCAGAGATTTGTGCTCTTCTCTGTCAGTGTGGGCAGAAGAGGCGGGTTTCTGCAGAGGAGCATTTGGGTAAAACTTTTCTAGGATCTTTTCATACAGGACTCATTAAGGAAGTCACCAAAGCTGCTTTAGGGTGGTGCCTGTGTAGACATCAATCAATGTGGAAGTTTCTCTGTGAATGAAACAAGAGCTCTCGTGCAAACAGAATCAGGGCGCTGAGCAGGTCAAGGATGACTCCATGGCTATACACTGTCCAAGCCTGGACATGATCATATGACTTCAATTATTGCAAGCCAAGTCTATAAGGAACTAAGTTTGTCTATCTGTTACGGTAACTTCTGAGAGACATATACCTGTATGTATGTGTACACATGTACATGTGAAAATATGTGCACATCAGTAAGGGAACTAGGAGTGTGCATGTGCTTGTTTTCTTTTTAAAGATATGGTCTTGCTATGAGGCTTTTGCACAAATAAACTTTGGCTTACTAAAACATCTTCCAAGACAAGAAGCGCATCTACCTGTTTGGCACTATAGAAAGGTAAACAACAAAACAGTAAACAGAGGGATGCTTTCCCCAGGATGAAGTATCTCTGGATTCTCCGTCTCCCCATGATGTATGGAGAGGGTCTTACCTTGACTTTTCCATAGCTTCCTTTAGGGATGAGAATCTTGTAGCCATTGACCTCAACTGAGAGCTCCTTCACCCACGAGACAGCAGAACCCCCGCGGTGCTCGTTCTTGGCCTCCACACTGAAGAAGGGGAGGCTGGAGGTTTGCAGACACTGTCGGGCCAATAGGTAAGCACAAGAGCCTTGGAAGTGGAAGAGGAAGCCATCAAAGGTGTGGTAGTGTGGCTCCCCAAACACCACACAGGTGCTGGTCTCCACAGGGCTGCAGTAGAAGAACCGGCCCTTGGGTTCGCACACCTCATAGGGGCTGCAGGAGGCTTCCTGACAGTAGATCTCATTGTTAAAATCCAGACAGCGGCACTTGACGGTGCAGTTCAGGTCATCCCAAAACACCTCCCCTCGCCGAAGGAACTGTCCTGGGAATAAGGACATCAGAGCCAACACTTACTACTTCCCCTGTGTGCCAGGCACCGAGACAAAGGCTTGACTTTGATCATGCCTTCTCGACCCACTCATGAACCCACTTAGGTGGAGATTAAGGACTGTCACCCTCATTTAACAATTGGGGAAACTGAGGCTTCAGAGCAGTTGAATAATTCATTTAACGTCACTCAGCAGTTCAGCCAAGATTCCAAGCAGAGTGGGTCTGAATCCAGTGTGAGTTGCTGGCATTGTTAACTCTCCAGCTGGTGAGCAAGCCTACATTCAAGCAAAGACACATTGCCTTCGTCTGTGGGAAAGTCTCTGACACTCAGGAGCCATTTTCTTTTCAAGAATAAGAACAAGGGCATTCCAAACTCAGACCCAGCTGATAGGACTGGGTCTCGGGACTCAGCAATCAGTTATTTATTTCCTAATTGGTTCATTTAATCAACAGTCTGGGCAGCATGTACGCAAAAAGGTCAACAGCACAAATCAGGAGGCAAACATAAATCCCAGCTTCCTGGGAATATTCTAGAAAAGACTGACCTCTTCTGTGCTACTTTCAAAGTTTCATAAATACTAAAGATGCTGCTCAGGCTGAATTTCAACCCTTGCAAGTTGTTTTCTCTCCAGCTCCAGACCGTGCTCAAGTCTGGTATTCCTCTCTCTTTATCTGCTGGAGAGAACCTGCTGACCAAGTCTAGGTCAGGCGAAGGACCAGCAGAATGACTTTAAGGCATGCGCTAATTTTTAATAAATATTCACTACCATTTATTTGACAGACATTTAATCTTTAAAATCATTTCCCTAAATAAATTATGTAACACACACACAAACACACACACACCAAGACTAAATATCCTGTAAAAGTCTACCATCTTAACCTCAGAAGAAGGCAGGGGACCGTAGGAATAGCTCTTTCTATATCTGTCCAACAAGACTATGTCTCAACAAGCAATTATGCCTCCTACCTGTTGAGATTTGCAGCTAAAAGGAGATAATAGATGCATTCATATTCCCAGTGGGTTGTATGTATCCGCCCTTAAAACAGACCCTAAGTCCTCTAACACTTTGGCACTAGCTCAAGGTTGCACATCTTTTAACAGCCTTCATTCAGTATCATTTCCAGTCTCTGCATTTCCAGGCTTCCCATAAATGGGAGCAAAATGACTCCGAATAGAGGCAGTTTGGAGAAAAAGGTAGATGCTCTGTGATAATTTTGTTTTGTGAAATGATGATTTAATAAGCCAGCTCTATGGAACCGAGTCCCTTGCTATAACCCAGGCCAAACCCCAATCTCATTAGATTGATATACGTCCAGTGGCACATAAAAATGCACAAGTCCTGTGTGGATATTGAATTTGCCCAGCATATGAAACCCAAACACATAACTCAAGAGGGAAAGAAAGCCGCGAAAGTGGGAACATTGCACACAGCTTGCATCAGACTGTCCCCACAGCTCTGCCCGCCGATGCTGTCCACCATCACAGTGTTCATTCCCAGGACTCAGGTGCGAGCTCGCCATTGAGAGCTCACTTTGCACTCAATAGTCAGTGAACTCTTCAGTGCTTGAGCCAAAGGGAAGACTTGTTAGGGTGAGAGTCTTGAGCGGAGATAAGAAGGCAAGAGAAAGGCATCTCACACAGTTGTTAATTAGTGTGATGGGGAAACTATCAATCACATCTAATTAGGGTGTGGCTACCTGGGGCCCAAGTAGAAATACTGGTAGATCCAGGTAAGCTCTCTCTCGCTCTCTCTCGCTCTCTCTCTCTCGCGCTCTCTCTCTCTCTCTCTCTCTCTCTCTCTCTCTCTCTCTCTCTCTCTCTCTCTCGGACTTATCGAATTTCAGACCTCCCACTCTTGTAGCATGAGTTTTCCCTTTTCAACTATTAAAAAAAATGTAACTATTGTTCTTGAGCTGGTCTGGTTATTTATCGTGCCAACCTAATTCGTCAGCATTAGTGTTGTGTTGATCTTCCCAAAAGGGAAGAGGGACAATCTCAGAAATCATGTTGGGGGCTTTGCAACCAGATTCTTTCCTACCCAGATTAATAACCACTTAGCTGCATAGCGCTTCTTGCTATTCCAGCATGAAGGACTTCACAGAGTCCACAAGGCTTAGATGCCCAGGCAAGCCATCCTCACACACAACCTTGCCTGAGGGCAAAGTCAAGAGGTTAGGTAAATCTGTAGGTGAATGCAGAGAGCATGGGAACTTCAGACCATATGAAACTGGCTTTTCTATATGTTGAAAATGGAATCTGAGTCAAGAGAGATGTCTGGCAGCAAAATAGGCAGACCATGTTTTCTACCCAAGTCGGAGAGATCTCCTTAGCCCAAAGCAAAAGGTTCTTACAGATCTGCAATCACTTTGCCCAATACATCCTGTGCTTCCACAATACTTTGTACCATGTTTTTTATTTGTGCTACACTATGTCACCATTATTTCTGTGGTTATTTCTTTTTGCTGTAGTATGATCATGGGCAACTATAACACTGACATCTCTGCTACCTGAAGAGTAGCTGGGGTTCAGTGGGTCTCTTATGTTTTTCTTTAGAAAGATAAAGTGGATGGATTTGGTGCATCAGTGGGCATGTGAATAGATGGATTGATAAGAAGACTAATGTAAGGTTGGGAGGATGGATGGATGGGTGGATGGGAGGATGGGTGGATGGAAGAACAGGAGGATGAGTGGATGGGCAGATGGGAGGATGGGTGGATGGGTGGCTAGGGGAATGAGTGAATAGGATGGTAGATGGTGATGGGGTGAGTAGAGAGGGGAATGTTAGATTGGTGAGCAGCTCGGCAAAAGGATGGAGAGGTGGATGATGGGAGGGTAGTGGGGATGGATGGGTCACTAGGAGGGCATCAGATAAACAGACAATGTCTTGCTTCTTGTTGCTGTAGCCTCTACTTCTATATACAGAGTTGTTAACAGAAATCCCGTTTCCTGAATCCTTTGAATACATAGGAGGCAGGAATCAATACCCAGGAATGCTCCTGTGAGAACTCCAGGGTTATTATGCACTTCTGAAGAGATTTTGGCAGTTGGGAAAAGATGCCACCACACTACAGAAACCAACGTAAAGGGAACTCGCCGAGGAGCCTGTTCACACAGACCTAGAGCAGCTTTGATTCCCCCAATCCCTGCAATGTCTTCCTACCCCTCTGAGGATTTTAGAAGCTCCCCTAAAAAGTCTGCTACATTTTCTTTCTCCTCGTACTAGGAGCTCCTGATTTACCACTGCAGGGACTTGGCGACACTCCAAGTTCACCCACTCCTGTGGATCTACGGCCTGCAGATGGCAGGAGAAGAGTAAAGATGAGGATGGAATCTTAAAGAGGAAGCAACAACAACAGCAAAAATAACGTGAGGACAGGAGGGTTCCCTTCTGTCCACGTGGCTGAGAAATAACTTAGGATCCTGGTGCACTTTGGAGATAGTCCAAACTAGTAGCTGTATGCACCCTACAGGCAAGGGTTTGGAAGTATACCACACGCCGTGTTCCTCCCGGGCTGATGAACGTGCTTGCTAAAATTACCTTGATCTCTACCAGGCAGCTGAAAGATGTCAAAAGAGTAAGCCATCAGGAACGAGTCCGCCCCCGTGGCTGGAAAGCTTGCCTGTCAATCTAAGGGAAAGGAACCCTGCTCTGTCAGAAAACGAGGAGAGGTTTACCCCTGGAGGTGCAGCCATTGGCCGGGTCGATTTCCTTCCCATCGACTTTAAATGCCCAGCGTCCTGGAACATTGACATTCGTGGTCTCTTGGATATTTACAATCTCAGGAGTTCTTGACCCTGGTAGGCTGAAGAAATTCGTGAGGTTTCCACCATTAAATCCCGCCTGGAGCACGAAAGAGAGAGAGAGAGAGAGAGAGAGAGAGAGAGAGAGAGAGAGAGAGAGAGATTTGAGTGAACACTATTTCTATTAGTTATCTGAGTTAACTACTTGTTTTTGTTTGTTTGTTTTGTATTTTTAGTTTTTTGATACAGGGTTTCTCTGTGTAACAGCCCTAGCTGTCCTGGAACTAGCTCTATAGACCAGGCTGGCCTCGAACTCACAGAGATCCATCTACCTCTGCCTCCCCAGTGCTGGGATTAAGGGCATATGCCACCACTGCCCAGCGCCAACTACTTTAAGAATCCATCACACCTGGACACAAGAGGTTACCTTTTTCCTGAACTCCACCAGGCCGCCATTCAAAGTGTGGAAGGCCTGCCTAGTTCACCCCATACCCAGATGAAGGTAGCAAAGACGAACAAGGCTAGCCCCTCAGTGCAACTACAAGATCAGACCTGTTTCTAGAACAAAGGTATCGGCAGGGCTCTGTCCACGATGCTAAGCAAAGCAAGCAAAGGCTGTAGTGATTTAAATCTACAAGAGGACGAGACGGGGAACCCTTACCTGTGCCATCACACCCCCAAGGCCTGTCAGGGGGTCGCCGCCACTCGCTGTCCCAGTAGTCCAGTTGATTTCATAGTAATTAAAGAGTGTGAATGTGTAGGAGCCGTCGGACACCAGCACGGCCTGGAAGGTGTTCACCTGCAGAATGTGCAGAACAAGCTCAGGAGCTCCTCACCCAGTGGTGGCTCCCCACCCCCCCCCACCCCATAACCACTACGGACCCCCCTACCCTCCACCCTATCCCCGAGCAGCTCTCAACTGTCCTTACGCTTCCCGGTCCTCATGCTCTGTCTTTTCTCGAAATTTGTTCTCGCCTCCAGGGCAAAAAAGCAAGATGTGTAGGACTGTGCATCCAAATGAGAAATTGGCTGAGACAAACCTGGAGTCTGACTCAGTGCTCCCCCCTCCACCCCGCCCCGCCCCGTCACATCTCTTTTGGACCAAAACAGGGAGCTTCAGAGGATCTGTCTGAGCATGCTATGACTTGAGAGCACCTATAGATGGCAGCATGAGAACAAACTATAGGAAAGCGGAAAGCCAGGGATCTCAGCACCAATACCTGCACCCACCGCAGAGTGGGCAGGGCAGGGTGGGCAGGGCAGGGACACAGTGAACCCAAAGCTCCAGTACAGTGGTCCTCTGGACTGGGCTCTCCCTGTTCCTGGAAAACATTGCTAGTCTGGATGAGAAGTCTGCCCTTTTTAAAATGAAAGTTGGGAAGTGATTTTTAAGAATCACTTTCTGGAAAGAAAATGTTCCTCTAATTGAGCATTTATGCATGACTTTGTATCTGCAAAATCATCAGTGCTCATCCGTAACTCAGGCTGAAGCTAAGATGGGCAATGGTTTCAGTTCATTCCGTTTAGAGCTAAGAAACTACGGACTAAGGGAAATGAGTTGCTGGAAATTGAGCAGTGACAGGGTCATGGAACATGGGATCGCAGCCAGGACACCCAGTTTCCCTCTCAGGACATGGTCACTCCATGCAGTCTTAATCGCAAACTTCAGAGAGGACAGAGATGTTGCATAAATCCAAACCAACCTTGCAGTTGGTCCTCAGATATAAGATGCATCAAGCTTTGACCTTTCCTATTTCCCTTTCCTAATCCCCACCCTTGGACCCGTGTTTTCAGGTAATGCAGATCAAAATAGAATTAAAAGTAGCCGTTATGACCTTTCTCTGTTCAAGCCTCATCCTTTTCCCATCTGCCTGAGAGCGTCCCAGTTAGCATTCATCGAGAGAGCAGAGGAAGACCCAAATTCCTATCCTGTGTAATCAGACTGGGGTGGAGGATCTTGGAAGCCCATTCCAGACGGTCCCAGGGAGGAGTACCTTGCTAGTAAAGAAAAGCCCCTTTTGTGAAAGAGAGCCTTCTCCTCCGGCCCTGTGCCTGCCACAGCCGATGGCGTTTATGATAGAGCTGGCTGTGTATATGCCTTCATTCTTTGGGTTCGTTCAACAAAAGAGGAAAGTGGGACACAGAAATGAATGATCTATAAACTCAAGGTTTCTACAAGATCACTAGTGGGGCCAGATTCAAAGGATAGGTGCAAAGTTAGTGTCATGCAAGGACCGAAGCTGGACCCTGTTCATAGTAGGATGCCCCTTGAGAAGTGAATTTCTATCAACTTTAGGTTGGAAATACCTGTGGCTCAAGCAAGTCCTGAGAGTACCTCCCCAAATCACACCATCTCTTGTTACCCCTAAACCAATCAGCCACCCCAAAGCTGTCTCACACGTGCACACTTCTTAGCTGTTCACACACATACACACACACATACACACTCACATACACACATACATACAACACACACACATACACATATATACACACGCACATACACACAATACACATATACACATATACACACATATACACACACATACACACACATACACACATATACACACACATACCTATGCACACACACACACCTATGCATAGATATTTTCCAATACACGTTTTAAGACCTTTCTAGAGCTGTTTTTGCACAAGTTCAGTTTTCAAGAATTCAGAGAACTTCTCAGGACACTCACTACCTGGGGGATGCACCTGAAGAAAGCGTTTAGGATCCAGCCTACAGAGTTCAGGGTGAAGCCTTTGCTCTGTCTCTTAGGAGGCTTGAGCCCCTCTTATTGTCCCCTTGGAACACAGCACTTGGGGAATCTTTATGGGGCTTAAGAAACAGCTGACTCCAGGGCTGGCACATAGTGAGAACTTCAGCAAACACCAGTTCTCCTTAAATACATCCATTTCCTCTTTAGTTGGGCTTCCATGGCGCTTCCTTTCCTTAAGGTCTCTCCAGCTCCCTGTTTAGTGGACCCAGTGATAAGCAGGCAGTCTTGGATGGGCTAGGTGGGTCCATTTCAAAGATAGGGGTGATGGACCCTTTGCTGTTCTACAGAAACCGTCTTTTTCTTTTCTCTCATGGAGCTCAAATCTTTCAAAGTTTCACCCTTCATCCTCATGGAAAGAGATCTTACTTGCTTCAGAAACTCGCCCGGAACTAGGAAGCAGGAAGCACCCACATTATCTGGCCATTTTTACGGCCAGTAGAGGTTTCGGTAGGGGAAAAATGGTGGTCAGCATTTGACGGGCATTTCTTCTTTCCCCTACCCCTTCACTGACACTAAAATTTATCGATTGCTGGCACCCTGCATTCGAGCGCTGTAACATATGAGGCTTAAAGAACATAAAGTATCACCCGAGGAGTCGTTAGCGATCCATAACGTGACAGAGGGAAATGCATGCTTCTTTAGGGGTTATTTCTAGCCAATGCATCTGCCGTTTATACGTGCGCCTTTCTGTTCTGCAGGACCTCTTAGCAATAAAGTGCTTTGAGCTTCTCTAGTCAGACAATACTAAACCACATGCTCATTGCATCCTAGCCATGAATTGCAAGACCAGCACTTTTGAACCTCTCTCTGGTACACAGGAATTTCTGTCCCACCCCTAAATAGTCAACTCATTGCCAGGAAAACAGATGGAATTAGAAATAACCCTAAGAAAGAAGAGAACAGAGATTTTTAAAGCATCTTTGCTTACTAGGGAACTGCAGTTGAAGATGCATGTGTTTGCAGCTTCAAAAACCACCATTATCGTGGTCACCCAAACAAGCCATACGTGTCCATGGAAACTGGGGTTTTTCCCCTTTAGGCAGCAAGCTGATTGCCTCTATGATATTACCAGAGATAATCTTTTTTATTTGACTTTTATTTGACTGCTCATTTGGGATCTCAGAGCAGATGTTGAAACTTTATTCAGGAATTGCTTTAACTGCCCACTCTAATTAACATCAAGTATGAATCATTTCAGCCCTGGTCACAATAAAAAAAAAGTCATAACATAATAAAATGAACCAGGCTGTTTGTTCCCAAATCAGACACCCTGCTTTTCTCATCCTATCATATTTTATTGAGGAGGAGAAAAGGGAAATTATTGATAGTGAGAAACATTTGTGCCCCTGGCAAGAGAAAAAGGCCTCGGTGTCCCTCAAAAGATCCCTAATCACATGGCCTTGAACAAGTCTCTGGGTCTCAGTTACTCTCTCACAAAATCGAATGCTGCCTCTTGCAAGAATATTGTCAAGGGACGCCTTTTAGACACTGGTAATGAATTGTGACGGGTGACACATCTGAAATATTTCAGCTGACTGGACTGGTTCACACTGATATTTCCCTCTGTTTCCCGGAAAGTGGGTGGCAAGACCCATTAGTGTAACTCAAGCGAGCTGACATTCCTCAGCTCTAGCAATTAGACTGTGGCTCGGTAGTGAGGACCAACAAGAACGAGGTGTCAGAGGCCCGCAAAAAGGGGGAAAGTTGAATGATTACAGGCGTGGTGCTGCTGCCTCCATAGAACGTGACTTCCTCCCAGGTCACAATGAAAACCCAAGTGGCAGAGAAGGTCGCCATGTCTTTGAAGTACTTCCTGATGTCCTTGGTGGCTCTTCTCAAGATGGCAGGGTCCATGGTCTCTCTGTAATAGATCTCCCCCCGAATTCCATTGTGCACATCTGCCCAAAATGGAGCAATGAAGGCCCTCCCATCCGTCAGGGGAAAGGACTCCGGTGTAAACTGGCTCACTAGCACGTTGAAGGA